ATTATAAATGTTTTAAGCCTCCATCGACACAATTTAGGTCCTCTAGGAGGAGAGCCCCTTCAGCCCGGCCTACCAGGGTCAATCCGCGCTGAGAGGAACATAGCGTCCGAGCAGATCGACGGAGATGATCAATGAAAATTATCCTCACTCGGGAATCGAACTCTCACCCTCTATGAGTACAATGTAGAGTATCAATTCAACGAACGCCACCCTGAAACTCGTAAATATCACATCTAGACGACTTTCCCTCTCATTATTTGGTTTCTACAACGAATGTTTATATATCTTATTAATATGTTGGCGAGTTTTTATTCTACGGAGGATTAGTCTTCTTCAAAACTGCTTTCCCCCTTGTCTCATGAGCTTCAATCTGTCGGTTATCTTGGCAAACATATGAGAAGGGGGATCACATCGGGGGGAAGCTGTCCTTTCTGTATTCAGATTCTGGCTAAAAGTTTTTTTTAATGTTTCAAAGAACAAAATAAAGGGAAACAAATTAAGCAGCTGAAGTATAGCTTTATGCCAAAGTAATATCCTGGGCTTTCTGAAAAGGATACGAAAGTTGACCCCTAATAAGAAAATACAAGTCAATAAAGGCCAGACAATTCGCTTCCTTAATAGATTTACGAAGTTCTATCAGACATCCTTGGCCGTTTTGAAATAGTTGTTATTAGGACATTCAAAGAATTGCATTCGAAAAAAACTAGAAATGTGAAACTCAAAATTTAATAAGTCAAACTTCTCAAAACTAGTTACTGGGCAGATAGAACTTTGTAATTCTAAAGTAGCAAACTACATCTCACAAACCTTGTTCTCTCTCTGTCTCTCTCTCTGTCTCTCTGTCTCTCTGTCTCTCTCTCTCTCTCTCTCTCTCTCTCTCTCTCTCTCTCTCTCTCCCTCCCCCCCCCTAAAACAATGAAAAATGACAAATAAAAGTCCCTTTAGATTTTAATTTGTTAGTTTATTTCAGTACAGAGAAGCACATCGACACAAAAATAGCCACTAAGTGGTGGGAAGAAGTAAGATAGGCAGAAAGAACAGAGGGGTAAATAAAGAATTAAAACCTACCAGTGACGGCCCCCAATATCGATTCTTTAAGAAAAAAAATTATTTTGAAAAAACCTTCACCGCATAGAAATTTAAAAAATGCACGATAATATAGAGCGGATTTTACTGGTACGTCTGTAAATCAAACATAGATATGATAAAGAAATTAAGCAAGAATCTACCAGAGGAGATTTCGTTACTGTACTGCTTTTATAGCACTCATCGTTTGTTTGTTGGGTTATTTTTAGAGAAGAGATTATAAATATTATTTGTTTCTGAAAGTTTTTGTGGCTCGTATTATACAATAAAGAACGTGCTGAAGATTAGAGGTGTTGCAAAAAAGTAACAAAAACATAAAAAAAAGAAGGAGAGAGAAGGACGATAGATGTTTGATCAGAAGAAAGAAGCAAAACCGTACCACAACATCCACAAAACATCTATTTTCCAGGAAGGAGAAATAAAGAAGATATCAATAATATTTGTTTTAGTAAAAGCTTTACGGCACTTGCAACGCAATTTGGCCGCATAGGTGCCGACGATAAGAGGAGTTGTTGCTAGAAAAAAAGTATTAGAGGGTATTGCAAGGCCGGTCAACACAATAATAATCCTATTTCATTATTAATTTTAATGAGGAGAAAATTAGGATAACTAAAGGATTGGGTAATAGAATAGTCATAACAAATAACTGAAGGACAGGAAAGAAAACAAAAAAGAGAGAGGGAGAGGGAGGGAGGGAGGGAGGGAGGGAGGGAGAGAGAGGGGGAGAGAGAGAGAGAGAGAGAGAGAGAGAGAGA